GGGAGGAGGAGAGAGAAGGGGGGGGGTGTCCTGTGTACATTGAAGGACCCGGGGGCGGCAAAAAGCAAAAAGCATGCCAGGCAGGGTTCTGAGCTTTGAAGACAACCAGTGGTTACGAATTACCAGTAAAGAAGAAAAGAAATCAATCAGAGACAAAACGGCACGGAGGCTATCCCATTTCGGCAGTGCTGTCCTTGGGTGCATCTCCATGGTTGCCGCGCATCGGCGTATTTTCGCATGTATGTCTTCGTATGGTCGGCAATCTCGTTTTATCTGGGCCGTGTAAGTGGCTGCAACATGGCACGGGTCATGAGCGGCCAAGAGAAAGAAATCAAGGCTCATCATCATCATCATCATCATCATTATCATCATCATCGTCAGTTCATGACCATCATCACCACAAGGCCGTTGTGCATGGCAAGCTTCCGAGACCAAAGGGGGAACCTGTTCCGTGCTTTCCATCATGCCACGCACGCAGACGACCGACATTTCTTCTTTCCGTCTCTTTTCTTGGCTTGTGGCTTGCAGGCCAGCGCGTGGTGGCGTCGAGTCGCATGTACTGGCAGTTGTGGGCTGGCGGAGGAGATGAAATGAGTGTGAGACATCTTTGACTCAAAAAGACCAAAAATAGAGTCGAGAATCAAATGACGAAGAATAAAATAGAAATTTTGGTTGTGATGATGCGGGGAGGAACTACAGAGGATGGAGAGAGAGAGAGAGGGAAAGAAAAAAAAGGAGAAGAAAAGCGGGAAAATCGGAAATGCAAGATTGAGATGGGATATTGGAATGGATCGTGGCCTGTTCCTGAGGGGATCGTGAAATGAAAGGTCGATGGCCGCATCAACAAGTTGGGCCGTGGGGGGCAAAAGGTTGGCTGGCCCAACCCTTTCACTTCTTTTTTTTGTGTTTTTTTTTTTTTTGTTTTTTTGTTTCTTTTTTCCCAGATTTATTTATACCAGAAACATGCATGGTCGTTTTTCATCTATTTCGCAGGGGGGAAGGGCTCTCGCATCGGGTAGCAGGGTTGTCCAGAGATGGTTCATTCGTAAGCACTTGCCGGGTGATGACGAACGATGTCTGAAAGTAAAAGGAGCAAATTAGCGCAAGAATGAAGGAGAAGAACGAGTTGGAATTTAAAAAAAAAAAAATAACTAACGAGAAAAAAAAAAGGGATAGGAAAGCGCCTGGCCGGATCCAATGAGAGCGGCCAAGTTGTTGGTTCAATAACGTGCTCCACATTCCAGCCGCCGGAGCTTGTACTGAAGTCGGAAGGAGGAGTATTGGCTAGTTGAACAATAAGTGAATAATAATTGAATAATTTACTAAGCGGGAGTTTCTCTATAGGTATAGTAGTTCGTCTTTATTTTCTTTGACTGCAAGTTCTTCGTGCCGCTACTTCATACTGCATGCTTGATGACAGAAGCTTGCCTGTCAGTAGGACGGGTCACGGGACCTTGATGATGCACAAGACAAGACAGAAAACGAGAGGAACAATGGCTATTTATTATTTATGCAAGGGGTTGATGCCGGGCCGCCGCGCCAACAATGGGCAGAGAGGCTCTGGCTGGGCAGTCGGGACGCTGCAAGAGGCACATGATGTGCATGCAAGTCGACGACTTATTTTAGGCTTGCATTTCGCCGTCTGTAGATGTTATTTAGACCATAAATACCTGCGTAGAGATGAACAAAAAACATGTGCCGATGTAGGCTGCAAGCGACTCGTTAGGCGCCGCCAGGGGGGGGGGAAACGCATCCGTCTGTCCATACGAGCGTGCGGATATGCGCAGCGCAAATCCCTCCAGCGCATCACTGTTTCAAGCAAAGCGAAAAGAAAACGTGGGTTCTCCGAGTACATCCGTGCCATGGTTGATCATGACTGGTTTTCAATAAAGAACTTTTGTCATTGAAAACGATTGGATGTGGGTTTTTGGGGGGGACATGATACCTTTTCTCTGGCTCCCCCCCCCTAACTAGAGGAATAGCGGCCCTCAGGCTCCAAATGTCTCACTAATTGTCTGCGTCCGTCGCAAACGAGACACAAGAAAAAAACAACCGCCCGCGCCCAAGCTGGCAAGCCGTAAACTTGACTAGAAAAAAAAAAAGAGGCTTATAACCTAGTAAAGATGAGGATCGATTCCCCGCAAGCCCAAGCCCGCAAGCCCGCAAGCCCGCAAGCGGACAACGCGGACGCGGACGGAGCCCCGGTGGTCATACAGAGATGCCTCGGTATCGAAAAGGCCCAAGGCCGCGAAGCGAAAGTAGAAAAAAAAGGAAATGACCAAGCCGACAATGCGATGGTAGTGTGTTTTATCGAGAAACATGAACATGGACCAGGTTACCCTCGGGTCCGGTTCTGTTTTTGTTTGAAATGAAGAGAGTTCTTTGCTTTCTTAATTATGAAGTGTCATTTGAAAGTACCGAGGAAGTAACTTAGAGAACCAGTCTTGAAACTATTCGTGGCAGGGCACGAGGCAGTGCCGTGAGCGAAAGTGGCCGGCGACGGATAACGCCCGGGTTGAGACACCTTGTGCGCCTCACCAGACTCGGAGCCGGTGCAGCGCCGGACCTCGCCGGCCAGATGGGAACATGGGAACATGGGGAGCACACGTTTTTTGTACACCGTCTGTGTCTTGCACACAGAATAACCCGATGCGGCACAAGAAGTAAAAAAAAATAGAATGGGTTGTACAGCCAGACACGGTACTACGCTGCCCCCCCGAGCCAAGAACCTTTTCGTTATGCGTTTGAAATTGAATTGGTCCCCGAGAACATTGCTTGTCTTTGGTCCTGCTGGTGCCGTGTGACGCCTGTGTGAATCACACCAGGCACCAAGGCAGTCATGCGGCCGTTGTGTTGTTTACTTGAATCACGGCCAGGGCCTACGGGATCGGACATGCAAGAACAAAGGGCAGGCAGCAGACGAGCCGCTGGGCCTTGACCAATCTGCACACGCCCAACGAAAAAAAGGCGCGTCGGTATTAACTACAGTAGTATGCACTTTAATACGGCTTCTAGCCGAGAGAACAATAGGACCGGGGGCAACGGGTGGGTGTGGCACGCACATTGCACCTTGGCACATGCAGAGAGGTGAGTGAAGCAGCCCTCTCAGTGGCCATGAGGTGCAAAAAGCGTGGCTGCCACACGCCGCTGTGCCTACGTGATGAGACAGCGAGTGTGATGTGTGTGGTCAGTGAAAGGACTTGCTTGTATGGACCGACGACCCTTGTCCCTTGTTCCGGCAGCTAAACAACCATGTGGCTGCCCACACACCGGATATTGCATGTAAGATTACAAGGGAAAAAAAAAAAACGGGCAAGAAAAAAGGTGCAGGCGGCTCAACAAGTGAACGAGGGGATAGGATTGATCGTGGGCGGTATCAATCAAAGAGCCCGTGCCCGGTACATACGTTGTCACAAGAAGAGACATACATGCGTTTGCTAGTTAATATTAACTAGAAAGAGTTGCCCTTGGTGATTGATGCTGGGGTGGTAACTCACGAGCCAACTAGGCAACAAGAAAAGGTTGTCTTGGCTGGCTCGAGAGTCGTTGTTGTTGTGTCCCTTTGTGCCCTATTGATAATAAGAGGAAAGAACTAGTTGGCAGGCAAGCAGGCAAGCAAGGCAAGCAAGTTGGCACAAAAAGGTTGGCAAGCAACGGAGAAACCCATTTTGGCAAAAGGGAGGCTGCCTGGGCTACTTGGCCGGTTTAGGTGTAAGAGTCCGACGAGGACCACCGAAATGTCTCACCATGACTTGTTGCCGATTTTTTTTTTCGCAGGTCCCCTTTGAATCAATAAGTAAGTCTTACGGATACGGATTACTCGGTAGCGCTGCCCAATGAAAAAACAACGGAAGAATGGCCCAGCCTCGGTCTGTCAAGAATGTCTTGGATGGAAAATGCCGGGTGCGCCCCGGGGGAGGGGGAGAGAAGCTTGATGTCTTTGATGATGATTTGAAGGATGATGCCCGTGTTTCTATATTTGTAACTGGTAGCCATGTGGAAATTAGAAAAGAAAACAAGTCGATTCCATCGAGATATCACAAAGTGGTTCTTTACGGAACCACGGGATATTAACACACGACTTGGCCAACTACGGAAGCAACCATGTATGTATGTACACAAAAGTCAGGCCACCCAGCGTCGCACGCAATCACATGGATAAGAGGGAGGGATGGTTGCTTGCAGGTTGGCTGCAAGCCTCTACGAACCAAAGCATGGTTGCGGGCGGGCGGGCGTTGTCGCGGAAGGACGGGTATGTGATGGGCTGGCCCCCAACACGTTTTTTTTTCTGTCACCACCGCAGCAGGATGGATCCGTTATTAGGCAACTGGGAACGAGAAGGCGGAGGAGGAAGACGAGACATGGGATCAATTGGCCCACATGGGTATTGAGCTATGATGTGGATGGAGGGATAGAGAGGGGGATAGAGGAGGAGAGGAGGAGAAGGAGGAGGAGGAGAAGGAGGTTTGTCAGGTGGTTGGCCATTAGGCTAGTTTGTTGGAGGAACAAAGGTCTGGGGTACCAAAATCGATCAAGAGTATGTATAACGGAGCTTGATATCAACACACAGACATGTATGAAAGGGGAGAATGTGATGCAGTGTATGTGGCGAGCTGTGTTGTATCGCGGTGGGTGGGCATCTGTGCCCGTCAGACGAGTGCATGAACCGGCGGAGATGTGGCGCCAGCAGCAAAAGTGAAAAGGGCAGGGACTTTTGCGTATGAATTGGATTCCTCTTGTTATGCAAGAGGTGTGGTGTATTACGGACAATTGCACGTTGGGTACATGGACAATCGGCCAAGCGAGATGGAGAAAGCTGACTGGACCAGTAAGCAGTACAAATTAGTGACATGGAATGCGTGTACAAGTTTAATACTCTGTATGCAAGGAGAATTGTCGAGGTTGACAAGACATGGCTGGGCCGTAGTCTTGTTTCACTGCCTCACCCGGATCTTTTTCTTCTTTGCATAGTTATTCCGTAGCTAAACTCGTTGTAATGGAAAAAAGAAGCCATCGTGGCGGGAACAAGTCAAAAATACAGCGGGCAAAGATAGTGGCTAGCCACGGTATTTGGGGCTGGGGTGGCCGCTAAAGAAAAAAGGCTGGGGGGGGGACTCCAGGCCAACCACTTCCGGGGGCTACAGCAGTCTTGGCCGCTGGAGCCGAACCCGCTGTGGCGTTTTGATTATGATTCTTGTTTTTGTTTTTTATTTATTTTTATTTTTATTTCAATTCCAGCTGGGGCTCGTTTTTTTCTTTTCTTTTTGCTTCTTGGTGTCTCGCTAAGCCGTCTATTTACAGTGAGACCTTTGGACACCGACCGCCGCCCATGTCTTGGTCTTGGGGGGAAAAGGTTTCCGTCGGGTTCGGGTGCGCTCTGTGTTTGGTGCAGCTGCACGCGCAAAAAAAAAATAAAAATAAAAAAAGGTGCGAGGGAGAAGGGAAATGTCTTGTAGACAACGCATCGATAGGGCACCAGCCAGCCAACTTGGCATCACGAGTGAGTGACTGATATGCCCCCCCCCCCCAGCCTCAACCGGCGCAGCGGGGACCTAGACCATTTAGTACTCCGTTACAGGTGGTTAGTAGTCAAACAACACCAACGGACCTACCTAATCCGCCCAAGCTTTGTCTTTCTTGACTGGTTCCTTCAGCTTCCAAGTATACTACCGTACCAGTAAGAATATTTTGAATATTTTATTCAATACCTAGTTTTAGTACAATGCGCAGTATTAGTACTAGCTAGTTCGCTTTCACCATCCACCCCTCGACCGCTTCCGCGCATCCCATAACCCAAGAACCCAGAATCCAGAACCACAACCCAGAACCCCGGTCCCATTGTTCTCGCCTCGTCATATTATCATCTGCAACCGAATCTTCTCTTCGTCTTCTTCTTGCCCGTCTTTGCTTTTTTTTCTTGTCCTCGTCCTCTAGCCTCACACCCCCTTCTCACCACCCTCACAACCCCCGCCTCCCTCACCATCCATCCCCTCCTCCCCCCCCCCCCAGCCCAACGAACAGGGTCCACGGTAGACGTTCGCCTTGCCTTGCCTCGTCATGCTTCTTCCTGATGCAGCGCTTGAACCTTGTTTTACACACCACCACCACAGACCTCTCTCTTTCTTTTTTATTTTAAATTCTTTTTATTATTTTAACGCTCTGTTTCTCCTCCTCCTCCTCCTCCTCCTCCTCACGCTTGCAAACACAACCTCCGACTCTCTTGTTTCCAAACATTCTTAACCCGTTCTCACCCCCCCCTCTTTTCCCTCACCTTTCTTCCCCTCCATCTCTTTGACCTGACTTGACCTGATCTGCCCTGCTCCTTCCCTCCCACAAATCTGGCCGCCTTTGGTTCCCTCGCATAACTACATACATACCGAGTCACAAAGTCACAAATCCTCTTGTTTGTTTCAAAACCACACCGCAACAAAACAAAACCGCACCACCACATCCACCCCTTCGCCTCACCTCGCCTCCTTGCAACACCGCGCACTGGACCTGTTTCCGTTTCTGGTCTTGACGAACCATCTTTTTGCACCGCTTCTCTCCGGTCAACGTTTGCTTGCGTGCGTGTTTGGGATTCCATTAAGCTTTTTTCCTTCTGCTCCCTCACCTCGCCTTGACCGCGCATATAAGCTCCTTGGCTGGCTGCATCTGCATACCAGTCCGACACCCACCAATCCATCCCTCAAGCACCAACGGCTGCCGGCATCGCCTTGTCCGACGTCAAACGCATTCATCCACAGCTCCGCGGCTGAAAGAACCGCCAAACAGAGACTCGACAAAAGAAACACTACTTATTGAAGCGTCTTTTCTTCTTCTCTTTCTTCTCCAACGCCGTCTTTGTTGCCTTGCCAGACCTCGGTTTCCCGCAATTCCAACTCTTTTCCATTAACAAAAAGAAAAGAGAAATTTAGCTTGAAACCAGCAACATCCACAATCGTCGACAACTTTCAACTTTTCTTTTTTCCACCTGACGCTCGTGTATATAAACGACCCGCCACTTGCCTGTTTTCAACCGCCACACCTCAGACCTCAGACCTCAGACACACCACAACAATCTCCACTCCCGCAATCGGAAGCCAAGCCCTCTATTTGCAACACATTTGCATTTCTGACTCGGGACAAGCATCAAAACCCTGTCTCTTCCCGTCGATCTGAAAAAAATCTCGACATTGTCCTCTTTACCGCCATTCTTGGAACATCACTCCCATAAGTCGTCTTGCTGCCGCGCACAGACTCCGCCCCAGCCTCCCCGTCAGGCTCACTTACACGCAACATCACGCAACATCACCACCACACACAACCGCCACAATGATGCGCCGTGAATGCAACGCGCAGCATTCTGCGTCCTCTACCACTCCCACCTCCACAACATCCTCTTCTGCCTCGTCAACACCAACGACGACAACCACATCCGCCTCCACAACCTCTTCCGCCGCCTCCTCGTCGCCCATCCACCTCCGCCGCAGCCGCCGCCGTACATCCTGTCGCCATGCCTCACACACGATGCCCACCTCGATGCGTCGGCCCTGCGGTGCTCACGCCGTCAAGACGAGTACGCTGCTCGCCCGCAATCCCGCCCTCGCCCACAAGCTGCGCCAGATGGCCCTGCCGCTGAGCCCTCTCGTCCAGCTCACCACCGGCGCCGTCCACCCCGACTTTCCTGCCAACGTCCTCCAGTTTTGGCTCCTCACGGACTCCCAGCTCGAGGCCCTCGCCACCTTCTACCACCAGGCCACCCCCACGGGCACCCGTCCCTCGCCCTGGGCCGCCCAATACCCCTGCCCCGTCCGCTGGCAGTCCGAGGCGCCCCTCGAGTGCAAGCGTCGCCGTATGGGCCGCTTCATCGGCCTTCGCGGCTGCGAGACTCCCGTCGAGTGCTTTCCGCCCGTCATCAAGACGGAAGACGAGATTGCCCGCGAGGCGAGGCTGGCCCGTCTGGCCGCTGACGAAGAGGCCTTGAGGAGAAAGACGGCCCCCGGTCCTTGGGGGCGATGATTTGTACACACATCTGTTGAATATTTGTGCGGATTTTGTCTTGCTTGAGTTTTTCTTCAAGTATATGCTTTAGAGTTTTGGTCCCACAACCAAGCAACACGCATTCGGCGTCTACTTGACACCCGCTATGCAGGCGTCCGGTCTATGGAGGGTTTCTTCTTTTTTTTCTTGTGATTTCAGCGAGTTTTGATATCTTTTTTCGTTTCTGGCATGCTTCTATGGGAGAAGCACATTGTTTTAACAATTCAGCACCATGATGATATGCACATAGATAGTATATATTACCAACTACAAACATGCAAAAAAACTACTAAAAAAACTGCCTCCCTCTCAAGCGCGGTGATGACTTTGTTGCCAAGTAACACTCTATCTATTTACAAGTCCAACAACATTGGCAAGAGGAACGAGGCTACCTTTGGACATTGGGGGCTTAGGTCGCACAGCAAATATAACTGTTCCTTATTACGGCAAGCCTTCTTTCTAGCCCAGTAGTCCCTACTCAATATGAAACCGGTAAAAAGAAAAAAAAATAGACATTGTGCGCCCAAAAACTCCCATCTTTGTATGTATCTGTAAATGCACCAGCCCTTTTTGTCTTTTCTGGCTCTTCCCCTTGGCACACCCCTTCATCTCCTATGCCTTGTCACCGCTGCCTGCCTGCCTTGTGCTTGGGTCCCCCTTTTTGCACACCGTCGTCATCTCGTCTGCCGGTCGCCGCTGCTGCTGCCTCCTGCCCTGGCGGACCGCCGTGCCTTGCGCGAACGCTTCTAGTTCTTGCCCTTGGCCGGCGTGTCCACCAGCACGGCGTCTTCCTCGGCGGCTGGCGTCTTGGCTGGTGCGCTGCCGGCGGCGGCGGCAGAGGACGACGCCTCCTGGTCGAGCTCCTTGATGAAGGCGCTCTGGATCTGGCCGCGGCGCCGCTCCCACCACTGCTTCTCGGCGGCGGTCTGGGCTTCAATCTCGGCGAGGGACTCGCGGAGCTTGGCGTTGGAGGCGATTTCGTGCGCCGACTGGAAGATGGCGTGGCCCCAGCTGGGCGCGAGCGCGTTGGCCTGTTGTCGAGTTCTCCCCGTTAGCCATGTTTGATTATTTGTGTTTAAAGCATCACTGCAAAGCAACGTGGATGACCCTTCAGCCCCCCACGTCGAGCGAAGCGAGGAAAAAAAAAGAAAAAAGTTACCTCTGTAACGACGTCGCGCAGCTCTTCCTCCATCTCGCGCTCGGCGCGCTGGAAGCGCTGCCACAGGTCGTCGCCGACGCTGCCGCGCTGCAGGAGCGCGCTGCACGCCTGCTTGGCCGTCTTGATCTGGATGAGCCGCTGAATATCCTCGACGGCGCGGCGCAGGAGCGCAGCCTTGAGCACGGTCTCGGGCACGCCGCCGCTGCCCCCGTCCGCCTCGGGCTCCGCGTGAAGAAGGGAGAGGTAGATGTTGCGCTGCAGGTTGGGGCCGAACCAGGGGGCGAGGTTTGCGCTCTCGGCTATAGTGTTGTGAGCCTGTTAGCAATTGATTCTTTGTACCGGAAACATCTTTTACGTCTGCCACAAGCGTTGCAGGGCTGCAGCTGGTTGTTTCCCTTTGGAAAGCGCAAACGTACCGGCCTTGCGTTTGCGGTAAATGCTGGAAAATGTCATGAGCGCGCCGCTGAGTACGATGAGGTACGCAAAGGGCAGCACGAGCCCCTTCCAGTCAAGGCTGAACATTGCTGGGTGGTTTACAGTGACCCTTTTGTCGCTTGCTTGTGTGATGCGATTGCGGAGTCGCGGGGGGGCGTTGAAGGAGGAAATTCGGTGGTCGAGGCGGAGCGTGGAAAGATTCGTGGATTTCGCCGACCCGGTGGTGAGGAATTGTCGCGTGCGAGGGAAAGAAGTGGCGGAAACTTTTTGCTGATGATGCGGGAATCGGGTGACGCCAGGGTCGATTTAATCGCTGTTCTGGACAGATATCATAACTAGCAGCTAAGCTCGTGGCCACCTTGGGGTCGTATATGTGGGAACGCATCTTGCCGCCGACGCCTTGTACCTGGTTCTCGGGCTAACGTTTCTCCTTGCACAGCGATCGCCCGTGATAAGTGATAAGTGACTTAAATAGGTACCTACCTACGTACCTAGTAGACCCTCACTTACATCCATTTACACCGTGAACTTTCAAGCACTGCTCCTCTTCAAAAGCAACGCAACACAACCAACCAGCATCCAATCATGTCGTCCTCTACTGCATGCGCCAGCTGCTCCAAGTCGCCTCCTGAAGTCAAGCTTAAGCACTGCGCCAAGTGCCCCGAGGTCAAGTATTGCGGCCGCGTTTGCCAGACTGCCCACTGGCCGGCTCACCGCGCCGTGTGCGTCGGACAGACCGGCGGCACGCCGCGCACCTCTGTACCACCCCGTTCCTCTGCCCCTCCTTCCTCCTCCTCCTCCTCCTCCTCCTCCTCCTCCTCCGGCGGCAAGCTGTCCCCTGCCAAGGGCGTGAAAAAGGGCATCGCCAGCCCGTTTACGCAGCTCGACAAGGGCACCTGGCTGCACAACCGGGCCGAGGCCGACGTCTACGCGCTGCTCATTGACGCCTACCGCCTGCGCGCCGCGGACATGTACAACCTCGAGGGCGAGGCCGAAGAGGACAGCATCCAAGGCGGCGCCGCCGACGGCCTGCGCGGCTTTCAGCGCTTCCTGGGCCGCGTGGCCGCGGCCCGGCCGGCCCTGCTGCCGCCGTGGTGGGACGCGAGCAAGAAGACGGCGTGCGAGGAGCTGGGCATGCGCGCGGGCCAGTGGAGCAGCCTGCGCGCGGCGGTGGAAAAGTCGGACCTGATTGAGCATTACGGCGATTCGCAGTTTCCGATGCAGCTGCGCATGTTTGCCGAGGCTGTGTATGGCAAGGCGCCGGGCGGCTCGAGCGGCTCGATGATGAAGGCCATGATGATGGCTATGGAGTCGGGCGATACGGGAGGGTATGAGGCTACGAATATCGACTTGTCCAAGATTCTGGGTCAGCGGCGATAAAGGTAGCCAGTTGTCCAGGGCACTGTCCAACACCTGTTTGGTAGAGAAGGGGGAATTTGTCAGATGGTTAGCGAGCGGGTAGTTGTTACAAGTTGTAGTGCGAAGAATTGAGCGGTGTTTGCGTAGAACTCGCGTTAAGCTTGTCTCTCCTAGTGGTTGTGATCGAAGCGGCTTTGGCAAACGATATTTCATACTCTCTCGTAGGTATTCACTGGCTGTAAACTATGACAAGTAATCCCGAGAAGTTTCCATTCTCTCCTCTATTGAGAAGTACGGATACCGTAGGTAGCTATTGCCATGCGCCAACTGTCGCTAGGCACCACTGCAATGACGCTGTTTGCTTAGCGTGACTTGGTCATCATCCTCAGCCAAAGCCATCAAATGGCAGTATTAAGGACAGAAATCGAAGATTAGAGTGAATAACCAAAGACTCATCGACAAAAGAACTGAGAGGAAATAATCCCCCAATCTCTTGGTCTCTTCCTAAGATCAATCATCCATTTCAACGGCGCTCTTGCTGGTTACCAATCATTCGTTGTGGCTAGTGCTCCGCCAAAGCTCCGACGCCACCAATTCAAGTCACCCACCTGCATCAATCAACAAATTCGCACCTTCACCTCGCAACATACCGTTCCGCCCGACCACGGTACCACTCCAGCAGTTGGATCGCCTCTATACATACGTCTCGAACTATCCCCGTTAAGCTTGGCCAGCTAACCCGGCTGAGCACCCGCCCCCATCTACCCCGCGATACAGCTCTACGTCGACATGTTGCTACGAATCCGTGGCCCCGACGGCATGGTCCGCCTGACCGTGGAGCCGACGATGACATTTGGTGAGATGGGACAGCAGGTAGGTGCTATTGACGCAATGTTTAGTTTTTGTACTGACTTGACTAGCTTCTCACCCATCTCCCGCCCACGGTTGATCCCAAGACGATCAGCATGTCCAACTCGCCCTCCGGCGGCGACGCGAAGCGCCTCGGCGACATTGTCAATTTCGAGATTGGCCGGATTGGACTAAAGTGTGTACGATGATGCGCACGGAATTGATAGCTACTAACAGATGCAGGCACGGCGACCTCATCTTCATCACATATCAGCACCAGAGCGACGCCGCGAATGGCTCCAACGGCAGCGCACCCATCAACTCGGGCAAGCTCAACGGCAAGCCTGTCCTGCCTGGCGAGGATTTTCCCGTCGACCAAAAAGTCGAGAGAATAGCCAGACCCTGGGAGGTTGTAAAGCAAGCTCCCCTTGATGACCGCCTCGACCGCCAGGACGGCAAGATCCCCCGCGGCCGCGACAAAATGTGTCGCCACGGCCCCAAGGGCATGTGCGACCACTGCCAGCCCCTCGACCCGTTTAACGCGACATACCTGGCCGAGAAGAAGATCAAATACCCCTCGTTCCACTCCCACCTGCGCAAAATCAACTCGGCCACCAACAGACCCGAGCTTGGCAGCTCCTATATCCCCCCGCTCGCCGAGCCCTTTTACAGAGTGAGGCGTGACTGTCCGTCTGGCCACCCCCAGTGGCCCGAGGGCGTCTGCACAAAGTGCCAGCCCAGCGCCATCACACTGAATCCGCAGCCGTTCCGCATGGTCGACCACGTCGAGTTTTCGAGCCCCTCCATCATCGATGTCTTCATCGACGCCTGGCGCAAGACGGGCTCACAGCGGCTAGGCTTTCTCTATGGACGATATGCAGAGTATACAGAGGTGCCTCTCGGAATCAAGGCTGTTGTGGAGGCCATTTACGAGCCCCCACAGGTCGATGAGATGGACGGCGTGTCGCTAAGTGCTTGGGAGAACCAAAAAGACGTTGACTACATCGCCGGACTATGTGGGCTGGAGCCCGTCGGCGTCATTTGGACTGATCTGCTCGATGCTGGCCAGAGCAACGGCTCAGTGGTCTGCAAGCGCCATGCCGATTCCTATTTCCTGAGCTCTCTAGAGACTTGCTTCTCTGCACGTATGCAAGCGCAATACCCCAAGGCGACGAAATGGAGCGACACTGGAAAATTTGGCTCGAGTTTCGTTACTTGCATCGTGTCAGGCAACGAAGACGGCGAGATTGCCATCTCCGCATACCAGGCATCCAACGACGCCGTTGAGATGGTACGGGCTGACATTGTTGAGCCCTCTGCCGACCCCACGCAGATGCTGGTGCGCAGTGAAGAGGAGGACGACGGCTCGACAAGTCGCACGCGCTACATTCCCGAGGTGTTCTTCCGCAGAGTCAATGAGTACGGCGCCAATGTGCAAGAAAATGCCAAGCCAGCATTCCCTGTCGAATATCTCTTTGTAACTCTGACGCATGGCTTCCCCGCCGACCCCAAACCAACCTTTACACAACCAGGTTTCCCGATTGAGAACCGCCAATACATTGGCGAGAGCCAGGAGCACACTGCCGTGGCCAAGGCGCTGGGCATGAGACCGGGCCAAAGGACGAGCGAAAACTGCCAAGAAGTCTCCAACTTCCATCTACTGTGCTTCCTTCACCAAATGGGCACCATGTCCAAGGTGAGTCTCGTGAATGTAGCAATCCCGTTTCCGCGCTAACACTACACAGGACGAAGAAGCTTTGCTCTGCAAGGTGGCCAGCCAGCACGACCTTGCCGACTCGTTCCAGCTGCGCTCCACAGAGGGATGGCAGACCCTACAGGCCATCCTCCAATCGACTGGTGAGCGAATCCCCAAGCGCCGACGCGACGTGGGTCTCGCCGACGGCTTGTCGCCCTCGTCGCCCTCTCCGTCCACCTCCCCACCATCTTCCACCTCTTCCCTACACCATTCTATACCCCGCGACCCGGATGAGCCCTTGACTAAACGGATGGCTGCCTTTAGGCTAAATGAGCGCCGCCCCGGGAGCAGCCGGCCGCGACCGCAGTGAAAGTATGTGGGGGTAGGCAAGCAGTTAGTTGTGTGCAGAATAGGGAGGAGTATCGCATGGATAGCAAGAGTCGTATTTGCGCCGTACAGGAGGTATGGCTGGCGTTTGGTGGAGGTACTAGTGATGATGAGTTGGGGCGGAAATAGCTCCCAATACAGAACTCTGCTGAACAAACCATACAGTCCTTTTAACGTTGGCATTGACTGTGCATATAGTCCTTGGGGCAGACCACTTAGGTATAGTCTTACAGGCTTCTTAAATGGTGACGATACTGGCTTGCAGCAGCTGCATTCACCAGTGGCGGTTGTCAGCTATTAGCTGTCATACGCCGGGTAAGCAAAGATGAATAGACGTTGCGGTGCGCAAGTCGAGAGGAAAGGAGCAAACCGACCTTGTGAGTTATCGAGGGCACCTACGTAGATGAGAGCAATAGCAATGCACCAAGAACACTATCTGGCACCTGTGTGTAGAGAAAGCCATGCTCCCGTCAAGGTGTATCGCCGGTAGCAGTACTACGCACTGCAAGTGGCGCTCTCGTGTGTGAGTGAATGAAACGGAAGGACTAGATTCCAGTATACGAGGTAACCGATGAGCTTCCACCAATTCTTTTGTGTATCAACGGCTATGCGAAGCTTTGTAGCGGGATAACGAGCCTAGTAGGCTGGAACCCTTGCCGTGTATTATTATCTACAGCAATGAAGTGGCTGCTTACATGCTGAGAAGAAAGAAAGCAGTAAGAGAAATGTTAATAGTAGAGACGTATAAGGGTATTATATGGCCGAGGACAGCGTAGCACACTTGGACATGGATTGATCATATTTATTTGGTTGAAAACTGCACGGACAATGTCGTACTTTGAAAGCTTCACTTATTCCAACGCCCATCATCCACCAGCTACACGAACCAGCCCTACTGGCCACTGCACCCTAGACCATTTAGACAAAAAAAACCATCTTGCACATTTTCTTCAACTCTCTGCAAGAGATGTATAATCCACTCGCCTTGCCCCCGGGCAACCTTTTTTATCCAAATACATTTTCTATTATTTTTTTAAACAACGTCAAACCCCGTTTACAGAGGCTTGCCGCCAATGAACTCGGACCAGCGGCGGACCTCGGAGGGGATACCCTCTGGACGCGGCAGCTTCTCGCTCATGCACTGGGCAAAGAGCATGGCAGTCTGGAAAAGAGCAAGTTAGCATATTGCATCGGAACGACAGGAAGCAATTGGGGAAAAATTAGGGACGTACCTTGGGCTCCATGAACAGCGGGACGCCAAAGTCGACGGCGTTGCGGCGCATGACGTAGTCGACGTCCTGGGTGGTCTTGCCACGGGCGCGGGCGAGGTTGAAGACGCCGCGAATGTCGTACTTCTTGAAGACCTCGCGGAGGGCGCGCTTGTCGTCGGTGGGGAACTCAATGACCTCGACGCTGACCTTGCCCTTGCACTGGCGCTCGAGCAGCTCCTTGACGTCGTGGCCGGCGGCGTACAGCTTGTAGCCGAGCGGCGCGAGGTAGTCGACGACGGTGGTCAGCCACGCCTCGTCGACCTCGCCGCCAAAGAGCAGGCCCTCGCCGGGCTCGGGCATGCGGAAGTTCATGGTGGACTGGAGCGAGGCCCAGTAGGCCTCGACGAGGGTCTTGCCGAAGCAGGCAATCTCGCCCGTCGACGACATCTCGACGCCGAGGAAGGGGTCGGCGCCGGCGAGGCGGGTCCACGAGAACTGCGGCACCTTGGTGGCGAGGTAGTCGCGCTCGACGGCCATGAGGTCCGTCGGGTCGGGCACCTGCTTACCGGCGAGCGCCTTGGTCGCGACCTCGATGAAGTTGACGCCGAGCACCTTGGAGACAAACGGGAACGAGCGGGACGCGCGGAGGTTGCACTCAATGACCTTGAGGAGCGGCTCGCCGCCGGCGGGGTTGTCGGCCTTTATGATTTGCATGTTGAAGGGGCCGGTGATGTTCCAGGCGCCGGCGACCTTTTGCGCAATCTCCTTGACGCGGCGCATGATGCCGGCGTCGAGGTTGGCGGGCGGCAGCACGAGCGTGGCGTCACCCGAGTGAACGCCGGCCTGCTCCACGTGCTCGGAGACGGCGTGGAGGATGAGCTCGCCCTTGGAGGCGACACCGTCGACGTCAATCTCCTCGGCGCCCTCGATGAACTTGGTGATGACGACGGGGTGGTCAGGCGACACGTTGCTGGCCGCCTCGAGCTTGTCCTTGAGGTCCTCCTGGCTGCGGATGACGGTCATGGCCGCGCCCGAGAGCACGTAGCTCGGGCGCACGAGCACGGGGTAGCCGACTTCCTGCGCAAACGCCTCGGCGTCCTGCACAGACGTGAGCTCCTTCCAGGCGGGCTGGTCAACGCCGATGCTGTCGAGAATCTCGGAGAACTTTTGACGGTCCTCGGCCTTATCAATGTCCTTGGGGTCGGTGCCGAGCACGTTGGCACCGCCAGTCTCTTGCAGCCGGAGCGCAATGTTCTGGGGGAGCTGGCCGCCAACAGACACGACAACGCCCTTGGCGCCCTCGAGCTCGTAAATGTCCATGACACGCTCGTAGCTGAGCTCTTCGAAATAGAGCTTGTCAGCAGTATCGAAATCGGTTGAGTACGTTTCGGGATTATACAGTGTGGGTGTTAGCTTCATAAACAATAAAGGAGAGCGATTTGAGGCAGTTTGGGCTGCTCTCATGTTGTCGTGATGGTATAAGTCATGGTGTAAGTGGTGGTTTGGGTGTTGGTCGTGAAAGTGGGGCCAACGGTTGACAACCGGCCCCAGATTTCACCCTTTAGGTAATTCAAGGAAGAATGAGGCGAGGAATGGAAATGTGATAGTTGAGAGAAAAAATAGCCCTTCTTGGGTACTTACGTTAATCATGACAGTCTTCTCACCCATATCGCGGAGAGTTTGAGTGGCGCTGACAGCACACCAATCGAATTCGACAGAGCTACCAATGCGGTAAACACCAGAGCCGAGAATGACGGTACCTTTGTCCTCAAAAGTGACGTCGTGTGAAGAGCCGTTGTATGTGGTGTAGAGATAGTTGGTGTCAGCGGGGAACTCGGCGGCGAGGGTATCGATTCTCTTGACCCAGGGGCGAATGCCGAAGCTAAGACGGTATGCGCGAACCTCATCCTCGGTGCTCTTGACAGCGTTGGCGATTTGACGATCGGAGAACCCCATCTTCTTGGCCTTGAGCACCTGGTCCTTTTGCAGGGCCTGGAGGCCGCCGGCGGCCTCGAGCTCGCGGGTGCACTCAACAATGTTTCGCAGCTTGTACAGGAACCACTTGTCAATCTTGGTAAGGTCATGAACCTTGTCGACAGAGTAGTTCTCGTGGATCATGGCTTGGCCGACGGCGAGCCAGCGGCGGTCGGTGGGGTTCTGGAGCTCAAAGTCGAGGTCATCAAACTTGTCGCCCTGGAAGCCAACGAAGCGGGGGTCGACCTGGCGGATGGCCTTTTGGAACGACTCCTCAAAGGTGCGACCGATGGCCATGACCTCGCCGACCGACTTCATGGCGCTGCCAATGTCGCGCTTGACGTGCTGGAACTTGGCCAAATCCCAGCGGGGAATCTTGGTGACGATGTAATCAAGCGAAGGCTCAAAGTTGGCAGTGGTCGTCTTGGTGACGGCGTTGGGAAGCTCGGGCAGGGTGTGGCCGAGACCAATCTTGGCGGCGGTGTAAGCGAGCGGGTAGCCGGTGGCCTTGGAGGCGAGGGCTGAGGAACGGGAGAGACGGGCGTTGACCTCGATGACACGGTAGTCGAGGCCGTCGGGCTGCAGGGCGTACTGGACGTTGCATTCACCGACGACACCGAGATGGCGGACAATCTTGATGGCGGCAGTGCGAAGCATGTGGTATTCTTCGTCGCTAAGCGTCTGACTGGGGGCAACAACGATAGAGTCACCGGTGTGAATGCCAAGAGGGTCAAAGTTTTCCATGTTGCAGACGGTAATGCAGTTGTTGTTGGCATCACGAACGACCTCGTACTCGACCTCCTTCCAGCCCTTGAGCGACTTTTCGACGAGAATCTGGGGCGAGAGAGTCAGGGAGCGGGCAGCCATGTTGCGGAGCTCGTCCTTGTTGTTGGCGAAGCCGGAGCCGAGACCGCCGAGGGCGAAAGCGGCACGGACAATGATGGGGTAGCCAATCTTGTCGGCAGCGTCAAGAGCCTCGTCGATGGTGCCGACGGCAATAGACTTGGCAATGGGAATGTTGATCTCCTCGAGAGCCTTGGCGAAGAGATCACGATCCTCGGAGAGCTCGAGGGTGTGGACGCTGGTGCCGAGGACCTTGACGCCGTACTTTTCAAAGAGACCCTGGCGCTCCATCTCGACACCGAGGTTGAGCGCGGTCTGACCACCAAAGGAGAGAAAGATGCCATCGGGCTTTTCGCGCTCAATGACGTAGGAGACGTATTCTGGGGTGACGGGCAGGTAGTAGACCTCGTCGGCGAGTGAGTGGTTGGTCTGAATTGTGGCAATGTTGGGGTTGATAAGGACGGAAGCGACACCAGCCTCTTTCAAGGCCTTGAGGGCTTGTGAACCTGGAGAGTTGGGTCAGATGAAGGATTCAATTGAGCGGAGGGGACCACGGCGACGCACCAGAGTAGTCAAACTCGCCAGCCTGTCCAATGGCAAGACCACCACTGCCAATGACGAGGACCTTTTTGACATCAACCGTCTTCTGCGGCTTGATGACGCCGCTCTCGAGATAAGCCCTGGTATTGGGGGCTTCCTGCGACGGGCTGGCGCTGTAGCAGCGGGTGGCGACGGTCGGGGTCCATCGCTTGGCCTGCTCGATGCGAATTGAGCGGCTGGCAGAGCTGTTGAGGGCAGCCGAGGTGAAGGAGCGCGCGGCGAGCGGCTGGGGGACTCTGCGTCCGTGTCGGAGCAGGGCCGGGGCTCGACGGGCCAGGGCGGCCATGGGCACAGAGAGAGGCATTGTCGCGGGCGCAAGAGGCGATGCAGGCAAACAAGCACAGCCTGTTGTAGCGTAGTAGCCCCTGGGTTGTTTTCGGTTTGCGCAATTGAAGACGTCGCGAGGGAGAGATAAAAAAAAGGGAAGAAAAAAAAAGGCTTAGTATGATCAAGTGTATTAGCGGGCGGACAGGGACGGAATAGACTGTGACTCGCTCTGGCAGAGAAAATGGAGAGTGGTGTGGAGTTGATTTTATTTTTTGAGTGAGATGCAGATAAAATAGGTCCGGTGAGCGGAGGGGAGAAGTCATAGAAGTAAAAAAAAAAAAGCTGGGGGAGCGACAGGGCGATGAGCAAAGTGGTTGGGGGGAGTCAGAGATAACTTCAGATAAGATACAGGGAGCCGAGCACCAGCGTCAGCCGGGAGAGCGATGCCGACGTCTTTTTACTGGTGGGCAGGGGTCTGTTGTGGGGGGTCGCAGAGGTCTGTTTAGTGGATGATGTGCTGCTGCAGTGGTCAGTGAGCGCTAACAAAATCTCCTGATAGAGATATTACAGCGCCTATCAAAGCTAGCGCACCCTCTAGTGACGCCGGACGTGCGCCACCAGTGCAACCAGGAACCTACGGCGGTTTTTGGCTTTTACGCAATCTGCGAATCAGATAATACCCTTAATTGCCTCATGACCGGCGTATAAGCAGTTCTGGAAATTGTAATTATTATAATTATCGAGGCGGACTCAATACTCGGCAAGCCACACCTTTTCTTTTCTTTGTTCTGGTCCCAAGTGCTTGAAGTCCGCTTCGTGGTTTTTTTCTGCCAGGATGGATCAACTCACGTGCACCTCTAATCGCCAGGCACGCCGTCGCACTCACACACCGCCAGATGTATTCGCGCTCCGTAGTTTGTAGATCTTCTCTCCCATCCATCCGGCTCGGCAGAATGCGCCTCCACTCTTGTCGACGGCCGGGACTGGTCCAAAGACTAGACGAATGCACAAATACGTCTCCTCACCCGTTCCTCTCTCGGGATACACTTCCTCGTTATGAACGTGCACGCTGCATGCTGCATGCTGCATTGCCAAATGGTCCCTGCCCGCCTGCCAAGCAGTCGTATGCAGTCTGCAGCACTGGCAGCATCTCACAAAGCGGAAGATTGGCATAGTCATTTTCCATTCTACTTGGAAATACCGTCTTGCACAGCTCACATTCTGATTGATTTTAAATTGACGGCTCTGACATCTCGAGCAGCCACGTGCATCGTGCCAGCACTCTTGTCCAACAGCAGTGCTGACAAAGCGTTCTCCAGCCAACACACTTCCTCCTCTGCCGCCGCCTCGCGTTATTTCCTCACTGTGAACGCTCACCATCATCACAGACGCCTGTGTCTCATCCCCCGAGTACCAATATCCGCTGGCTATATTCCACCATGAGATGAGACTGTAGCTTGTTCAAGCGCCAATACATCTCCCGCAAGTAGTGCTGCCTTCCCACCGACGATCCTACCAGTTCTTCGGCGAATAGTAGATATTGAACGCGGTTTTCAAATACGTCTCAGCTCCTGACTCGCCGTTGTTCGCAAAAGCGATTCTCCACAACTGCCTCTTCGACAATGTGATTCAACAACCCAATTCCGGCTTCGCAGAGATGCAAGAAAGTCACAAGTCAAAACACGAAGTTCTTCCTATGCGTGCGAAGTCCAGGCCGATGCTATTTTGAGCTATAAAACGTCCGCCATGAGCGTCACCGCTCCAGCGAAGTGCCTTGTTCCTCATCTTCACCCACAACACTGGTCTCCATTGGTCTCTTGGAAGCAGCCCAGCAGCGTTATTCCACCTCTCCGCTCTATAATCTCGAAAACCTGACTAGCCCTTCTTCGCCTCTATCGCCGAATGAAGTCGAATGTTCTTTCCCGCGTTTTGAACCTCCTTGTCGGTGCCCTGGCGAGCGGCAGCGATGCCGCTGTCAGCGGAGTCCATATTTCTGCTCCCAATGGCGTCTACGACAGGACTGCTGCCACCTCCACCATATGTGCCGAGCCTGTCGCTACGTCGCATAGGTACTCCCCAGCCAACCCGATATCCAGATCATGCCGACAGAGCTATTGCGGTTCCCAAACTCGCACCCGTCCCTTACCTCGTCAGTGACACTATCAGGTATAGAAGCCTTCTCTACGGTCTTCTCGATGGTCTTATAAACATCAAGGCAGTGGCACGAAAAGGACATTTCTTGGGAGTAGTTGACTTCAAGTGTTCCGGTTGTTGGCTGCCTCTCCGATACCACCCCGAAGCGTGGGATAAACACCGACATCGAGGCGATCATCCGATTTCTGCCGACCTGAACGGGGATGAGCATGATCTTTCGACTATTGTCTCGATTTCTACAGCTGTCATGTACACTGCAGATGCTGTACACCATCTGTGAAGTCATGGAATGGTTTGCCAGACCGCTACTCGGCTGCAACATCTGCTGAGGTCCTTATCCGGGGAAACCTCTAAACGGTCATGGATGCGTCATGACGTATGCCTCGCGTATCTCGCTGCATACAGCGCTGTGGTACCTCATACTTCATGCTTCCTTTGTATTAGTCATTCGGCTGCGAGATATATGTGATGGAGTGTGTTCCGTCTCTGTGTCGATTTCGGGAAATTCTGTGTCAAGGCCACACAACACCGACGTATACCTTGTGCCTGTTTGCTATCAATATGCCCCCTTTGTGTCTCCCATTGGTGCTTGTCACAACTTTTTGGTATAACCACACCCCCTGGATTTGTATCACGACTGTCGTCATATTAGCACACATGTCGGGTAAGGGACACTTTGTTTGCGCGTAGCGGTCGTTGGGCCGACGCTGCACGGCAGACGGCAGCACGCCAGCAACTTGGTTTTCTCCCCTCCTATCATGTTCATCGCTCTTTAGGCCGCCCCCAACAAAGAATCCAAGGCTATGTGTGTGTGTAACATCGTATTTTTGGGCCAGGCTGTTGGGCAGACACACTACCGCACGCACACACAACGGGGTCGGTCCCAGCTTGACACCTATTTTTTTTTGTTTTCCCCGGTGCAGGAGGGGAAAAAAGGGAAGCGACTCACTCAAAAAACGCAGTCACGCCGCACCGGGCGGCCGAAGCGAGGAAAGGACCCCCTTTGTAAGTGGTTTCACGTTCAGGAAACACTGCAGCAGCCGTGGAGAACGGCGCATCGAGGTGTCGTCTTCTGACTTGATTTCTTTTGGCTATATATACATATATATTGGATCAAGGGTAGGCTGCAGAAACATGTGGTTTTTGACGCGAGGATACATGCCACGCTCGCTGTTGCCGCTACCGACATCGCTCTCATCTGGTCCGCCGTCGCCGCCGCCGTCGCCGGCCGTCATCCACCGCCCATCCACTTACACGACGCTTCCCCGGCACCTCCGCCTCCACCTCCGCCTACCCTCCACGAGACCGCCGCCATGGTCGCCGACGCGCCTCTGCTAGTGATTAGCTGCGGCCCGGACCCCAGCCGCTACCTCATCAACGAGAAGTGGGCGTCGCTGACGCGGGCGCTCGGCGCGCGCATCGACGTCGTCTGGGCCACGTCGGCCGCTGAGGTGGCCGAGCGGCTGGCCTACTACGTGCCCGCGGGCATCCTGGTACTCGACGCCGGCTTCACGGCTAACGACAGAGACTGCGACACTGTACTCGGCCTGCTCAACATGTACGCGCACATGGGTGGCACCGTCGTCTTTGCCGGCGTCTTCCCGGCCGTCGTTGAGGCGCCCGCGCTGCGCCGTGTTTTTGCCGAGTTTGGCCTCAACTGGCGCTTCGTCGGCTACGAACTGCACGCCGGCGCCCGCCTGCACCCCTGGGCCGGCGTTATTGTCAGCGGCCACCTTCGTGAGCAGCTCGTCGCCATGCCCAGCGTCTGCGAGCTAAGCCAGCTCACGGTGCGTGTACAAAACACCGACGATGTCTTGTACGAGATTTATCCGCAGAGCACGCCGCGCACGCACATTGAGTCGGCCGTCGTCATGGCGCCTGTCGGGGACGGCCATGTGGCGCTGGTGGGGGACAGGGAGAATGAGGAGACGACAAGGGCGACGATCCTCGCCATGTTTAAGCTCGTGCCGTGAGCGGAGTTCTGGATGGCTTTTGGCGTTGGTCTTGCATTTCGAAGAAAGTGATGGGTTCTATATAAAGCATGTATATGATAGAGATGCTGTCATGCAACCGGGAATCGACATGGAGTATTGACAGGCGGACAGGACAAGCTTCCGTGGAAAGCCCTCCACCCGGCCAATGGCATGGTCTCGAGCTAGAGAGCCTCGGACATTACGAAGTGGCCAGCCGCCATCGCTTGGAGACTGCGAATCAGTCATGTGGCCTCTGTACCAGGTGATTACCATCGTCCATCGGTTCAACTGGCGTACTTTTAAACAAGATTGAGTAGAAACGTATCGAAATGTATTCACTGTTTATGGCTGACGATCCACCGCCACAACTCATCGTCGATGCGGATATTGGTGCCACGCTCAGGATGATATAGACTCCAGGCCTTGCCAGCGCACCCGCTCCGCATACTTGTGTGCTGCAGTCACGCCCAACGTCCGTCTTTGTGGCACCGACGTCGAGGCTGATCAAGCTTGTTCGTCTATCAGATATGCAGGGCATATCTGACCAAGCCACCGGGACATCTCGCAGTTGCCAACACGTGGCTCACAAGTGCCCAACCTGGCCGTTGGGTGCCGGCAACCGTCGATCAGAGTCAGCAGCGCGCATCACGTGGCGCGGTCCGCCTTCGATCTGCCCTGATGGAACCAGTATGGCAGCATCGGCCGCGGCATGCGGGCGCGCTCTATACTCGAAGTCGGCTCGTCGAAGCAGTCCCCTCCCCCCATCCTCTATTGCCTGATCGGCACGGCGCAGCCTCTCCCTGTACAGAAAATGCGGTGCTCAGCCGTCTCGCAATCAATGTATGGACAGCAAACAGCTACTGGGCGCGACAAAGTCCCGGTCCTGCTGCTCCCGTCAGCCGCGGCAACGCCGATGACGGCCAGCGGCCATTTGAAACAGCTGGGGTCCTGGGCGCTGGACTTTTGCCGGATGGGATCCAAGAGCTCGTTGTGGTACCATGCTCGCACTTCTTTCAAGCACAGTCGCCGATGCCGCCCAGTCCCGGTGAAGGCAAGCGGGGTCAGTTTCAGGATCCCGTAAAGTCCAACGACAAGGTTCAATCCACACGCGATATTGGGTACCATGGGCGGTTGCTCCAGATCCTTGTTCCCCGGCGTCTGTGTTGAAGTCGTTGAGAAGGTATCTCGCATTGACCTGTGTGAGCGACGCGTTTGCTGTAGCAATCTGCACTGAACATCGTAGAATGTGAACAACAGCAAGCAGGAGCTTCGTCAAACAAAGCAATTTTCGTCACACTCAAACGTGCATCTGGATAGCAATTCGTCATTGGAGAGGAGACCAAACGCAAGCTTCATATTGTGTGCCAGCTTGCGGCCAAACAGTTGGAGAATCGGTGCATGTTCCGACACTTTCGGCAATACTGCACAACTAGTATCCAACAAGTTCGGCGTACAGTAACGTTGTAGGGCTTCCATGAAGTCCCACTGCGGAGACTCGGTTGACAAGACTGAAAAACATTGTTTTCGCTTTGCCTGAATCCGCTAGAGACGCAGTCTGCGGATCGTGCCGTGATGTATGGAGAGCCAACATTTCAGACAAAGGCAAGAGCCCAGCCAGCAGTGGCTTTCTCGCCTCTATGCAGGGGATCGTACCGACAGTTCAGGCAGCCAGCGCGGCTCCTTGGCGCTCACGTCTTCTTTCGCTCCACCATTCAGCAGCTGAATTTTGGGCGGCATGATGAAACCTGGCCGTCGTTGAGATGATACCGGCGATAAGGGTATGTATGGTATGGGGCTGGGGGGCGGCAAGGCCACGTCAGATCTGCATGTAAATGGGCTGAGTCAGTGGCAGCGTGCAAACCAATCAAGTATAGACATATTATGGCGTGTTGAAGACTCGGTAGGCTATATCTACATATTTCTATATTAATTGTTGTCTATTTTTATGAATGCTAGTTAACAATGGAGTGCCTTTTACCTGCGTGTCGCCTACCTAGCCAGGTAGGGAGATTGTAGTAAGACCTGCCTTGGCGCTTGACATGGCCCGGCTTCAGTAAGAAAATTGCCAAAAAGGAAAAAAAAATTAAACATGAGAAGAACCGAACAATGCTTCGTCTCCTATTCCCTTCTCCATACTCTGTACTCCCCGATCTGTACTCTCTCGTTTCACCCACCACGGCGCCTAGAAGCGGGCCTGCAGTGATTGGCTGACGGCGCACTGTTTCACGTCTCAAGAAGCGCTGGCAGCACGTCAAAGGTCAAACACAGTTTGAGCGCCTCTGAACCAATCCATTTCGCTATTTTTACTGCCTGAATAGAGACAGAGAATATTTTCGGTAAAACGGCATTCCTGTTTGTCTGTTGACGTTGGGGCCTGCACAGGGGCTCTATATGCGCTGCGTGACACTCATTGTGCCACGGTTTGGGGTATTAAGTTGGCGGCAGAGAAGCAACACAAGTTCCATTCCTTCTTCCTTTCTTCCATCTTTCAAGCTCTTCTTTCTCTGATATTGTTGGACCTTTTCTTTTTGTCTTGCATACCGCGCCTGGCTCTGTTCTTTTCACGTCTTCGCCTTTGTTCACCTGCATCTCACTTATACCGCTGGACGGCCATTCAGACCACCACACTTTACTCTACTGCTTCCCTCTTCGCTTCATTTTTCTATTCTTTAAACACACGGAAAAACCCCCACCTTGCAAATCCCGACTTCTTACGCCAAAAAGGTCAATAATGGTCCAACTCACTTCCATCCTCAAGGCCGGCCGGACGGCGGCCAAGTTCGCCAACGACGCCAACACGGCGCGCGCCGCGGCCAACGACTTTCGGCAGGCCGACAAGGCGCAGATGGGCCGCGATGCCGGACGCATGGCCTTTAGCGAGGGCGCCAACACGGGCGCGGCGATGGGCAAGACGTGGCTCAAGACGTTTGAGGTGGTGCCGCGGCTCGTCGTGCGCGGGCTGCAGTTTGTGTTCGCGCTCGTCGCCGTCGGCTTCTACGGCCACCGCGTCGACGCGGACCGCAAAGCCGAGCGCGCCATTGCGCCCGAGTGGCTCTTTGCCGTCGTTGTCTGCGGCCTGTCGGCCCTCACGGCCGTCGCATTCGTCCTGGCCGCGACCGCCGGCGCCATCCCCGTCGTCGGCGGCTTCCTCAAGATGCTCAAGACGCACCGCGCCTTTGGCTGGGACGCGACGCTCTGGATCGGCTGGCTCGTCGTCTTTGGCATGAACGCCGGCATCTTCCTCAAGAGGAGCGCCGACGACCCGTACAAGGGCGCGAGCGTGCGCGTCATGAAGGTGGCCGTGTGGGTTGACCTGGTGAATGCCGTCTTTTGGATGCTGTCGGCCGCCTACGGCTGCATCAAGACGTTTCTCGGTGCCAAGGTCGACGCGGCCAGCGAAAAGGTTGGCAACAAGCTGTTTTCTAAGAAGGGCGGTAACAAGCACGAGATGAAGAACATGTCGACGAATGTCTAGTTGCGGACTGGAGTGTTGTTACTTTGGATTTTCGGGGCTTCATTTTTGTTGTCATGTTGGTAAGCCGGCGGTGTGGCCTGTCTTTGTCGGGAGTGGTCGTTGCGCCCAAAGTACGGACTTTTGTATGGAATAATGTGCCGCAATTCATTTCTTGCTTTCAATATACCTTTTGCTTTTTTATTGACAATTTATTCCTACTTTCACAGCAAAATAGTAAACAGTCTTGTCCGTCTCTACCTTCTCGAAGGCTCGGTAACCTACAGCTCTGTGCAGTACGGCAGCCTATAGGTGAGTTGTCGCTAAAACCCATTTTGCATTGTTGTATCGGGGTTTACGCACTAGGCATACACCGAGAGCGTGTGTAATTTTTTTCAGTATATCGATATTTCTGTTTAAGTGCTTAGAGCCAGCCAGCCAGCCAGCCAGCCAGTAAGTAAGTAAGTAAGCCAGCCAGCCAGCTAGCGAGGAAGCCAGCTAGCGAGGAAGCTAGCGAGGAAGCCAACGAGGAAGCCAGCCAGCCAGCCAGTAAGGAAGCCAGCCAGCAAGTAAGAAAGCCAGCCAGCCAGCCAGCGAGGAAGCCAGCAAGGAAG